TGCTTATTTTTGGACCACAAGTATATCTTTTGGAAACACACAGTAGAAATTCAAACTGAGACTCGTAAAGATGTTAGAACCATTTACTCAGTGACTCCTTATTATAATACCAGTGAGTTCAAATATTTTCAGATGAGTGGTAGCCCAAAACGAATTCTTATATTTAAAGGTTAGTCACTTACTCTTTCCATTCCGTTAACCCTAGATTTGTACAAATTTAGTGAATAATTCCTCCTTTATATTATCAGTTAAGCCTAAGATTTACAAAAATGGAAGGTTCTGCCAGGACAATAGGACTTCTACCATCAAGCAGCTTGAAGGTGAAGAGCCTCACTTGTCTCTAAAACCTTCACTTGACTCTAAAACTCTGAGATCTGGGCGGTCCGCAGTATAGTGGTTAACACAGTACATGGACAGCCAGACCCTACATGGCCTATTGCTATTCGAGTCCCAGCCCCGGCAGCTTAAAAACTGAGCCAGACATGTGCATGCATGCCCAAAATCCTGACAAGGAATAAGGATGGCAGCATGACCATGCCCTCCTGGGGGGTTTCTTTCTTTCTAATGAGCACATGCACCACCTGCAATTTAAAAAAAAAAAAAAAGCTGGTTTTCTTCCCTTTAAAAAAAAACTTTGAGTTCTACTGAAAAGCTTCATTTTCTGAGAAAACTGAGGATCAAGATGCTTAAGATCCTCGTGGACTCTGCACCACGTGACAAGAAACTCGTGGTTCTGCAATGAGCTTCCCCCTTAGCATTTGCCCACACTGCTGGGTGATTAGTCTACCCCAGAGTGGACCAGAGTCTCCATGCTACTGACATGAGAAGATAGATCACGCCTTGTCATGAAGAGGAGTCCCAGTGGTATGCCTGGCCTCTGTGCTTCCGATGCCAATAGCACCCTCTTACCCTAGTTTCTCCCCTCCAAAAAAAAAAAGAAAAGTCTTTAGACATTGTCTATTGTCCCCTAGGAGCAAACTCACTCTTGTTAAGAACCACAGGTCTATTTAAAATCATCTTCTGGTTTTAATTAATTTGTTTAATGTTTTTTGAACGTGTACCTCAAGCACAAGCACATCATATTCAGTAGTAGAGCTCTGAGCTGCTCATATGAAAAACCACAATCTTTGCAAGAAAAGGGACATCATTACTTTCTTGGCATGTGAAAATACAGCCAAGAACAAATTCTGACCAGGGTTAGCCATCCCAACTTTTTTGCATGGGGGAAGGGGTGCAGTTAAGAGAGAAGCAAGCAGTGGCTTAGTAGACTCACATGGGAAAGGTCCTGGGTTCATTTTCTCAAGACCTCCCTGAGCACACTGGCCATGAACATACCCTTGAATCAAGCAGGCCGTGACTGGGGGTGGACCACAGCATGAAGACCCTGTTGTGGGGGAATGGGGGGCTTTGTGTATACATGTGTGTGTGTGTACGTTTCTCTCTCTCTCTCTAGCTGTCTCTTTCTCTCTCTCTCATGGAAAAACTAAGTGAATAAACTTTTTTTTTTTAAAAAAAAAAGCAAATTACAAGCTGGCAGTTTTGATCCATGTTTAATGAAAAAGAAGTTATGTGAATAGAAATGGACATATAACAAAGAGATCAATTTTGGATATGGTGATAGGTAGAACAAGGGAAGATTCATTTTAATTCTGAATTTACTCACATATTCCAACTAGTTATTACTGATTTAAACATCTCCTTAAATCAAAAACAAAGTCATAGTTATAATTTTACTGATGTTTTTATGGGAACTTAGCACAATTCAAAGAATACTTTCCTCTTTCCCACATGCCCTCAGAACACACACAAAGACAGAGGTGTTTACTGCAAGCTTGGTGTGAAGTAAAGCTGCCTTATCTGTGTTTTACGACAACAGCAAGTTAGCACTAGCGAATGTACTTTTGGCACAAAGAGGATTTCTGCTAGTATTTTCATGAGAAAGCTTTCATGATATGCAGCCACTTATTTTTAGTACAATCAATCACTGAAGGAGTAAATCTGTCTCTGGGGAACATAAATATACTCAGAGACAACTGATGGTTTAGATTGGAACACATTTGAAATACTGAAGGCATGAAATTTCAAAATGCATAAAAGTAGAACTACAGTGAGCATCTTACTAGCTTGTTTCATGACTTAGCTCTGCTCAGTGCATAATTCTTAGCAAAGTTAGTCAATATACTATTTTTGGCTTGATGGATAATATAATCATGTTTTCCTAAATAAGAAAAAATATATGTCTTTGGGGGAAAATCCTGATCTCTGAAACATACACAAGCAACAGCTTTACAATAGTGATCTCACTCAAAATATCCCTTCTCTCAAACTAGAAGCTGGTAAGCCTTTAACTCATGTATAGACATTGGCCATGTGGGCACTAAGGAAAGGCAGTAGCTGACTCACCCTCCCTTTAGAGTAAGAATCTTTTGGCCAGCACATAGAATACACCAACCTCTGGGCTGACATAGACAATTTTCAAGTTAGGATGAGCCCTGCCTCTTCTGATACTGTATCCTAAGTTTTTCCAGTTGTTCTACACATTGTGACTGGGCCAACTTCAGTGTCCGATTCTCCTCCGTCAGAGCCTCAAATTCTTGAACCAGCTGAGCAGCATCCACTTTCTCCTTCTCTGCCTGATCCAGCTTGGCAATGAGCTCCTTTCTGAAGATTCCAGGTGCAGGGCAAGAAGAAGCACAGAATTCAATGCAAACAAATTAAATCATTCCGTAATAGCATGATAGAAACAGAATGTTTTATTCTTCTCTTCTACATGGTTACGTATCTGTACTTGCTTCTAGTGACTTGCTTACTGTTTTTCCAGCTTCAAAAGTTTTAGTAGATCCCTTTAATTTATTCTAGCACCTCTACTAGACTCTACCAAATTAAGTAATATTCAAAAGAAAGTCTTATCAATTCTTAGGCAGTTCAAACACATGGCTTTTAAAGGATATCATAAATTGTAACAATAATAACTAATTTAGGAAAAATAAAGTAAAAAATAGGTCTAGCCCTGTAGTGCAGTGGTCAAGCACTGTGGTTTGGGAGCCAGATCCCACATAGCCAACCCAACCATGGTTCAAGTCCCATCCTGACAGCTTGAAAAACACCGGGTAGGACCAGCAGATGACATAGTGGTTATGTTGCTGGACTCCTACAGTCAACCACAGTTTGAGTCCCAGACCAATCACTTAAAACTTATACCAGGTGTAAGGCAATGTGTGCCCAAAATCCCCAGAGGAGAATGGAGGAGAGGCATTGTGGCGTGGCCATCCCCCCCCCCAGGGGGTGATGTATCGCTCTCTGTCTCTCTGATAAGTGAATGCACTGTATAGCAAAAATCTCTCCTAAAAAAATGAAAAATAAAAACACACCAGGCATGTGTACACGCATGCCCAGAATCCTGATGGAATGGAGAAAAATGGAGAATGGAGAAATTGCAGCATTACTATGCCCCACTGGTAAGTTACTTGTTCTTTTTCTTCCCCTCTCACGAGTACACATGCACTCTGGTGATTTAAAAAAAAAAAAAAAAAAAAAAAAAAGACAGAGTGGTCCTTGCTCTGCAGGAGCCAATTCCATCTCTAGGCTCCAGGCCAGCAAGGGAAACTGAGGCAGGGGCACCACTGCCCCGGCCCCACTTCCAGGCTCCCAAGACCAGGACTCCTCCCCCTAGAGAGGTAGGTAGGTCTTTATTATTTTTCCTTGCTCTTACTATTTGTTTTGTTAATACCCTCCTCTCCCTTGTCTCAGAGAGTGGCCCTGCTCTGCGGGAAAACTCCAGTTCCATCTCTAGGCCCCTGGCAAAATCTCATGCCGCGCTAACATGTGACTTTTTCTTTATTTTCCTCTATACTTTGTTCTTTCTACTTACTTTATCCTCTCTTCCTTATCTTCTACTCTGTCAGGGGGGTTAGACAGATCTAGAATCACAGTTCTGAAATTCCCTAGTATTGTAAGGTTCTCTGGGATCCTCCCCTGTACTGGACCTATGAATACGGAGATACTGCTCTTCAGACACCTGAATAGAGTACACCTCTTGAGACCACATTTCTAAAAACAACAGAAGAGAGACTTCCACATACATTAATTCACAGCAAAAGGGAAACACACTTGCTCCTAAGAGGTATTCAAAAGTGAATACATCTTCCAATGACTAGAAGTAGAAGAGCATCAGGTCTGAATAAATCATCAAAGGAACAGAGTAACTCCCCTCTATCTCTCCTAAAACTGCAGACGTTATCAAAACGTCAGAGAAAGAATTTAGAATATTCATGGTGAACAAATTCTATGAGTTGGAACAGAAAAGAGACAACAAACTACAGGAGATTAGGAAATCCTTCCACGATATGAAAAAGAAATGGACACCCTAAGAATCAGATGGAGCTATTAGAGATGAAGTCTGTCGTAAAGGAAATCAAAAACTCTCTTAAAAGTATTAAAAGTCATTTAAACCATGCTAAAGATCGAACCTCCAGGGACCAGCAGTTAGCGTAATGGCTATGTCACTGGACTCCCATGTAGTCGACCACGGTTTGAGTCCCAGACCCAGCGACTTAAACTCACACCGGGTGCGTGTGCGTGTGTGCCCAAGATCCCAAGTGGAGAATGGAGGAGAAGGAATTGTGGCATGGCCATCCCCCCTGGGAGCTGATTTTTTCTCTTTCTGTCTCTCTGTGTCTTTCTGGCGAGTGCATGCGCCCTATAGTAAAAACCTTTCCAAAAAAAGAAAAAAAAAAAAGAAAAGATTGCCCTATAGTAAAAACCTTTCAAAAAAAAGAAAAAAAGAAAAAAAAAAAAACAAAAGAAGATCGAATCTCCAACATAGAAGATAAAATCTCTGACCTATGGGGACCAGCAGGTGGTGTGGTGGTTAAGGTGCTAGACATTCCCACATACCAGACCACAGTTCAAGTCCTGGATCTGGTAGCTTGCTTTCCCACTTTCCCTCTGCTCTCTCTCTGGTCAAATTAAAATAAGTGAATGAATAAATAAAATTGAATAAATAATTCTTTAAAAAAAAAACCTGACCTAGAAAAAAACACGAAAAAGATAGAGAAAATAAAAAAAAACAACCACGAGGATAATATACGAGAAATACTAGATTCCATAAGACGCCCAAACATCAGAATAATTGGCATCCCAGAAGGTGAAGAAACTAATAATGGCATGGAAAATCTATTCCATGAAATCCTGGAAGAAAATTTCCCAAGTGTAGAGAGGCACTCAAGCATTCAGACCCAAGAAATACAAAGGACCCCAAATAGACTCAACCCCAGAAGATCTTTCCCAATGCACATCTTAGACAGACTGGCCAAGACCAGAGATAAAGACATGATACTAAAACTGGCAAGAGAGAAGCAAGAAGTGACTTACAAAGGTCATCTCATCAGGTTAACACCAGACCTCTCATCGGAAACAATGCAAGCAAGGAAAGAATGGGAAGATGTATTGAAAGTGTTAAGAGAAAAACAATTTCAACCAAGATTATTATATCCTGAAATATTATCCTTTATATGGGGAAAAAAAAGATCAAAATCTTCTCAGACAAACAAAACCTGAAAGAATTTGCCAACACCAGACCAGCTCTTCAAGAAACTCTGAAGAAACTACTGTTCCAGGAAAACTAAAGAATAAAGGAATAAAGGGCAGCAAAAACAATGGCCAACTTAAATGTCGGGACAGGTCCGGTAACATCAATAATAACACTGAAAGTGAATGAATTAAATTCTACAATCAAGAGACACGGACTGGCTGAATGGATTTTAAAAAATAGAAACCTTCTTTCTGTTGCCTACAGGAAACCTACCTCATGGATCAAGACATACATAGACTGAAAGTGAAGGGTTGGAAAAAGGTTTTCCGTGCAAATGGGAACCAAAAAAGAGCTGAAGTTGCGATACTAATTTCTGACAAAATAGGCTTTAAAACAAAAACTTTTCGAAGAGACAAAGAAGGGCACTATATTGTAGTAAATGGGTCAATAAATCAAGAAGATATAACGCTTATAAATATCTATGCACCTAACACAGGAGGACCCAAATATGTGAAGGAAAGACTGTTAGATCTAAAAGGGGAGATAGACTGCCACACACTGATTGTTGGAGACTTCAACACCCCACTATCCCCTCTGGACAGATCATCTAGACAAAAAATAGATAAAGAGATAAAGGACCTAAATGGCACCATAAATCAAATGGACTTAACAGACATCTATAGAACTTTCCATCCAAAATCCACAAGATACACTTTTTATTCAACCCCCATGGAAACTTTTCGAAGATTGATCACATGGTAGGGCATAAAGCAAGCCTCTATAGATTCAAAGGCATAGAAACTATATCCAGCATCTTCTCTGACCACGATGGAATTAAACTTGAGTTTAATTTCAAGAGAAATCCTCAAAAATATATATATATATTTACTTATTTATTTATTTGTTTGTTTGTTTATTGTTTGACCAGAATGAGAGGGAAAGTAAGAAAGCAAGCTGCCAGGTTCAGATTTGAACCACAGTTGATCATGTGGAAGTCCAACACTGCAACCACCATGCCACCTGCCAGCCTTGAAAAGATTAATTTTTAAAGGAAACATATTTATAAAAATGACATAAAGTATTGGCTACGTAAGTGTTGATACAGCATCATTCATGAAAGTTGTACCCACACAACCAAAGCTTGGGACACATGACTCCTAGTCTCAGTCCAAATCTTCTTCTCTTGGGCTCCTCCAACCCTCCAAAGCCCCTGTGGCTCTTTGGGTATGTTCTCAAGGAACACTCAAACCCCTATTCAAAAGTATTAACAGGACCAGCAGTTAGCATAATGGCTATGTCGTTGGACTCCCACGTAGTTGGCCACAGTTCGAGTCCCGGACCCGGTGGCTTAACTCACACCGGGTGCGTGTGCGTGTGTACCCAAGATCCCAAGAGGAGAATGGAGGAGAAGGGATTGCGGCATGGCCATCCTCCCTGGGGGGTGATTTCTCGCTTTCTGTCTCTCTGTCTCTCTCTGTCTGGCGAGTGCACACGCCCTATAGCAAAAACCTCTCAAAAAAAAAAAAAAGTATTAACAATCTTGCCTTGGTATATAATGTATGCAAATATTTTCTACCTCATACTCATTTATCACTACTTTTGGCCACATCTCTAAAAGCGCCTCTGCTTCCTTCTTCTACTGATAAGATTCTGATTTGATGGTGTATAATATGAAGAGAAGAAGAAATGAAACTGTATGTTCCTAAAAAGTAAAAATATTCAAGTTTTTATTGGGGGTGAAACCAATAAAACCCATGGCCACTGGAGGTGAAAGGGAGATTCCTGACCAAAAACTCAACCTGTGCGTTAGCTCCATGGCCCCATCCCACTTGGCCGACCATAGTTCAAGTCCTGGCCCCAGCAGCTTGAAAAACACGCAGCCACATACACACGCATGCCCCAAATACTGACAAAATGGAGATGAAGGAGAGGAGATGTCGTGTGACCACACATCACTGGATGGTACCTTCCCCCTTTGTCTTCATCACTTTCCAGTGAGTGTACATGACCTCTAGCAAAAATGAACATTCAAGCCGAAAACTCAAACCTGCAATTTTCTAATGATGGAGCAAGAAAGTTTTCTGGCTATTTCATTCAGTTAGGTCTCCAAACATGTTTTATTTTATCC